CCAGAGTGTATGAATGCATGTGCAAACACACACCAATGAGAGCATTTTCTTTTTCTTCAAGACAAATTTTCTACTGCAATGTAACAACTGCCACTGAAGAACATCACATTTGGGATTGATCCTGTGGTCTATAAAAGGGACATTCCAGAAAAAAAATAAATAATGGAATTGGAAGCACAAGTGTTACTGTAGAAACGTTTTCCTGAAATGGTCTGAAATAAACAATGTCATTTTTACTCTACAGGGATTAAATATTTTGTTCTGTGTTGAACTCTCTTGAAAGGCCTAGGGGATGTTTTTAATCCTTTGCTACCTGATACCTGAGATGATAAAGAAATGTAACTAAGTTTCTTCTTATCAGTGTCACACAATAGTCACTTTTTTCTCCTTTTCCTTTCTGTTTTGTTATTTTCTTTATTGTCATTTCCACAGCCATAGCCAACAGATGCAAATGTAATTTGTTTATGAATCACAGCACATATTTATGTGAATATACCATATGAATATGCTTGCAGTATGATTTCAGCTGGGTGAATACTGCAAAAGATGATTTGCAAACACTGCTATGAATAAAGGGCATGATACAAAGCTTGTTGTGATCCATGGGATGTCTCCTGTTGGCTTCCAGGAGTTTTGGCTAAAGTTTCAAGTCAAGACTTTCTATTCAGAGGAATTTTTGCTTGCTGGTTGTCTTTTGTTCATGATTATTTATCCAGTCAGAGCTTTGTTCATGTAAATTCTGTGGAGAAGCTTCTACTTGGGGTAATGCACATTCCTGCACAAATACATGTATTTTTTCTATGACTACATATGGTCATATGCAAGTGTTATCAACACAAAAATCTATGAGTAATCGTTATTAATAACGGATACAGCAATGATCTACGTAGAGTTCAGGAGTCGTACACACATATGTTTTAGCTAGTTCTTCAAAGAAACCTTTTTCTGTCCCAAAGAGAGCTGTCAGTCCAAGATTAGGAGGCGGCAGAGCTGTATCTGTTTAGCAAACAGGTAGAGCTTGGCCTCATGCTCCCTGAAGTCAACAACACATTTCCCACTGAATTCAATAAAGACAGGATCAAGTCTGTTCTCAGCACTGTAACTTACAAAAAAAAAATAAATGTTGAAAATAGAAATGAACTTGGGCTTTAGGTTTCAGAGTTTTTAAGTATTTCCTTATTCCTTTAAAATTCAGTTCTGCAAGGTGTCTTTTCAATGGACGCTAAACTCACAGGACCTTATAGAATTGGGCCACTGCCAAAGGGCATAGCTGTTTATCGGTCTTGTATTCATGGACAATGTCTATTGTCTCTACTCAGATAAAGCAGGATTTGGCCATTTTCCACATCAGACCCACAACACTATGATTAACATCATACTCTAATAAACAGTAATGAGGAAAAGTGTTCCAACAACAGAATAAAAATCTCTTTTAGTGCAAATGTTAAAGTATCTCTTTTTGGATTCTCACTGCCAACATTTAAGTTGCAGAATTTGGTAATGTTTATTCTTCAACTCTAGAAACTCTTTACAACTGCCTTCAGTCTTGTCTTTTTCACTTCCTTGCATGGCAGAAAATATCTGCAGATGACGATACAAACTGGCACCAAGCAAAATCTTTGTATGTATTTAAACTTTTGCTGTTCGCTTGACTCAGTGACCCAGCGGTATGGTCCAGAATTGCATTAACCAGTTCCAGGCAGTGGAGACAAAAATTCCTTTCATTCATCAGCAGATAAGGAGTTTTGACAACTCTCCCTTGTGAGCAAGAAGGGGGAAAAAAAAAAAAAAAAAAAAAAAAAAAAAGGCAAGAAGAGATTACAATGTAATAATGCAAAAAGCACAGTCAAGGAGCCAAAGAAAGACTGAAGGAAGCTGTAGGGCTGCCTGGGCAGACAGGGAGACTGCTATCAGAATTGAACAAGAGAAAATCCAGATCCCCCTTCCACTCCTCTACCTGTTTCTTCTCAATGTCACTATCAGTGCACACACTGATATAAAACAGGTCCAGCAAGTATTCCAGTAACTCCTCAAGACCACCAGGGCAAAAACAAAAACATTCAGGGCTTGACACTTAACCAAGGCAACATGCCAAGCTTATCACATGTGAAAAAGCCTTGTAGAGGAAAATAATCATCTTCATGTTCACAGGGCCTGGGTGTTAACTCTCCAAAGAGTCTCCTGTATTTTCCACTCTTGACGGTTGCAGCTGAGGGGGTTCTTGCAGAGAAATTCAGACATCTGAATGGATTTCTATTAACTACAGAGCATGGGAAGGAGCCAGACATTTCTCTTTCGCATCACAGTACTGATTAGAGACAGGGCGCTTTCTTGTTACCACAGAGGCTTGTGTGGTGAGCTGGCCTAAAGAATGGCTGACTTTCTACATAATCCAGAAATCACACACGGAGCTGAGCAGAGACCAGTTCCACTTTCTCACAACCTTCAGAGTTTCAAAAATAAATAAATAATTATATATATATATTTATATATATATATATATTTTTTTCTTGCACTGGAACATGGTGAGGAAAAAAGAAAACTTTTCAAATATGTTCTGCAAACAGCTTGTGTCAACAAGTTGTAGTGACCCCAGACCAGAAATAAGCCCCCCTGCACAGCTGCCAGTATTTGCTTCATGTCTTTCTCTGCCTCTGCAGCCTTATGCCTGGAGCCTCCGGGTTCAATGCCAACACGTTTGGTAACAACACCTCACTCAAAATGTTCTTTTTGGCTCTAACCCAGGCTTTCTGGGAGGAGGTGGAGGGCTGTTTTTTCACCAGCCAGGAACAACGAAGATCCAAATTCAAGTTCCTGTTCTGCCTGATTTGGGGTATGTAAGTTGAGACACCGTTCTTGTGTGTAGGACAACCTCTAGGTTGCCCTCTATCCAAATCTCCCAGAGCAGCGGCACAAACAATTTCTGTTGTAATTTCTGTTACTCTGCTCTGGTTACTACTAATCGTGAAGGAACAAATCTTGTTGCCAAGAATTTTGTAGGAGTAAATCAGGACAAACTTTGAGTTTCGCACCTGATATTATCTGCAGGTACCATACAGTTCATTTGCACCTGAAGATGCATGATCATGTGGGAAGCTGAAGTCCTCACATCCTCTGCTCTTATCACAAGTGGTAGACATTAATCAATGTTAATTACAGATATCATACGCGCACACACACACACACACCCGTTTCAGAAAATATTGCTGAATTTAATTGAATGCTTCCAAACATATCAAATTTGAGGTTTCTTTTCTTCCATTGAACACTGCATTATTTCTCTTCATTAGATTCCTGCTCCTGTATCTTAAGTTCCTCTCCAACTTATCACAAAATTCCCTTTTTATTTACTTTCATTTGAGTGAGGACTTGATTCTCTGATATACTTCACAGTTCAGTGAAGTCAATAATAGATGCTCAACTCCACAGAGTATGAGAAGTGCAGGGATTTTGAAGTTTGTGATAATTAGGAACAAACCTAGAAATATTGTTCCAAGCCATAAGTTTTTGCATCCGTATTAATGCATTTTAGCTGGGCAAGTGAAAGAGATAAAGGCAAACATGTTTGTATACTCAACTCCTTTATGAGGAAAAGTGGAAGCTGCAGGTGTTATTTCTACCTGATATTGGAGGGACATTGAAATATTCGTTTCATCAGCATCTAAAACCAGTAGATTTCAGAGTATAAACTTTAACTTCTCACTGCAATCAAATGGAATGAAACTGAGAACTGCAAATAAAAGTAATACAGATTCATACTCTGCCCCTGCTGAAAATATAAACTTCTTCAAAGTCATTCTTGGTATTGACAATTAAAAATAAACTATAAGAAAAAAATCTCACATGCTTTTAGAGGATGATTATGAGCAATTGGAATACCAACAAGTATCTGAGGATAAGTATCCAGTAGAATTACCATTGAAGAAACAGGGCTTGTACACAAGATCTCCCTTACATTGGTAACATATGTTTATGAAAAGTTAACTCTTCCTGCTGGTAAAAACAGTATTAGTGATCAAACACTTACTGAAGAAATAGAGAGAAATAGCTTTATGTTTTAGATATACCTAATGTTATGGGTCTGCAATGGTATACAAATAATTACCACAGTCCTTACAGGTAAGTCAACAAACTGAATGAAACTGATGGTTCTGCAACTGAGAAACAGTAGACAATAACTCTTTGTCTGCTTGTTATGTATGAAATCTTGGCTTAGTAAAGAAAGGTTTTTCATTGTCTTTCAGAAAGAATAATCAGGCTGACAACATCACACAGAACTTCCTAACTCTTTTCAGCCAGTTAAAATGTTGCCTTCTGACTGGAGTCCTTTTTTGCCTAATTGCTCTGTCTGGAGTTCCCATGGATGGTGAGCTACCCACTCATGGAATACCCCTTTGCCTGAAGCCTGTCTGAGGATCACTCTTCTGACCTTACGCTGTCTCTCCTTCCCTCTCTGCAGAACTTGCTTTCCTGTGTTCCAGTTTCCTGGCCCATCTGCTGCCCTCCCACACGTGGCAGAGGGCAACAGATGGGTGATAATCATGCGGAAAAAGGCAAATGGAGGCCATGCGGAGGGGAAATGCAGCTCTGTGGCATCGTGCCCTGGCAACACAAAGCCACCACTAGTCATCCACTGCACACACACCGCGAATCAGTCAGTGACAAGTAAGGCGTGTGGCTGGTTGGAGTAGGAACAGGCTGTGACACTGCCAATGCTGGGTGGCTGGTTTCCACTGGCAAACATTGTCACTTATGGTACAGCACCACTTAGGAGTAACCAAAGAGAACCTTGTCCACCTCTTCAAGAAAGACTCGTCCTCCAATTTAGTATGAGGGAAGAGATGTTTCATGGTGTTTTCTTCAGTGCTCCTTTAGGACACAGACGCAGAGCTAAAGGGTGGGGTGTCCTGCAATGTTGGGTGAAGTGAAATGCATATAGCAACAACCAATTTCTGCACACCTTTGAATCTTATAGGCTTGACATAGTATGTACAGCTCACCTGCTTCTGATGACAACTTGCTAGGACATGTAAACTGGCTGGTGACAGAAGAGGTGGATTTGGTGGTGTCTGTCAGTCACAGGATGACTATGAACTACCCAGACAACACTGAAGAAAAACAGGAGGAAAAAAATATATAAATAAATAAACAGGAAAAAAAAGGAAAAAAAAAGCCCAAAGTAGTATAAGTATGTTATCATGTTTTCAGAAAGGGAAGTAGCAATGTAACTGCACATCTGAGAAAGATCTCTGGTAAGTTGGTGCATGGCTTCCTTAAGAAAGTAAGAACAGTACAGAGTAGGACTGCTCATATGATTCACATGAGGCTTGCAACACCAGGGCCTTAGATTTGATAGTCTGAAAGTTTCTTTCCAGTGAAACATAACTTACATCTCTAGGAAATACAGGCAAAATCAACTGTATTTTTTTTAGTGAAGAGCAACTTTCCCAATAAATGAAGGCTAGCAAAGCCATATCTCCATCAATCAAACAGTATTAAACCTTTTAAAATGTTTAAGTTCCTTATGCCTATGCAACTTTAGACTAAACTCAGGAATACTAACAGGTGACTCTTAATATTGCATACCAATTTCTTTAACGCGTGTATTTTTCCTAATTTTTAACTTTGAAATGGTATGTAATACATATGGTTTGGTAAACAGCAAGTGGGAATACAATATGCAGACAAGGTAAATATGTTGTGCAGTTGTGCATGCTGTATTACTGTCTGAACAGACAAATGGACAGAGAAGTTAAGATCTGTTCCCTTCCAGCCATGTAACAGGGCTGGTTGTTCAGATAGGAAATAACATCTGGAAAACTGTAAATAAAGCCTCCGACTGTTAGGATAGTGCAAACAACCTCCAAAACTCTTCTTGTATTTAAACACTATTTGTACTATTATTGTTCACCAGAACTTCTTCCATATTTCTACCATATGCATACATATACACTGTATTCAAAGGGCTCATTTTTTCCATTGCTTCTTCGCTCATGCTTTGTCATACTTATCTACCAGTTATCACTCTTTTAACATCAGGATCTGAGCAGTGCGGAAGATATTTCAATATGATTTCAGGACTATGACTTAAAAATTGCGCTTTCCAAGGCCTTGGATCTATGGCACATAACTAATATTATAGTTTCCAAATAGGTCCTGCTCTGAGTGTGATGCTCTGAAGCAAACTTCTGAAACAAAAATTATATCAAATTACCTAAAGGAAGGAAAATATACATAGATCCTAATGACAATTGATTACATGATTTGTTATGACATAATTATCAGCTAGCAAGAAAGATCTGCTTGTATCATAAGTCCATTTCATATTAATTAATGCCAATAAAATTTTACTACTGCCATACATGGAATCAAAACAAGGACGAGCAGTAAAAATGTAGAATGTTTGCAGTGGTTTGACAAGGTAAAACCAAATTTATTTTTGCTATCTAGTTTCCTTGCCAGTCATTTCTTGTCTAAATAGTAAATCCTTTGCATTTGAGTTTATTTTCCAAGAATAACAGGTTCAGATGTTTAGTTTGGCTGAAACTAAATTAGAAATGTTGGCCACCTATATGAAGAAAAATAAGACATTCTTGCAGATGGAAGATCAGAGCTACATTGTGGATTTCTGAAAAAAATATGTTTTTGGGTGCAGAGAATAAAGTAGGCAAAATACTAACACCAAAAAAATAACCTTTTGTGGACATTTTTGAGTTCAGATTAGATGAAAACGAATAAAAAATATAAACATTCTCATCTCTAGTTTCAAAATAAATAGTGGATATATCATATCTTGAATGCTGTAGAAATGTATAGGGCACTATTGATTAGCCCAAAAAGAGTGGTATTGCACTAGCAAAGAGGTAGATGAGATTTTTTATATGCTCTTGAAGATGAGCATCCTATAAAACTAGAAATTCACAGTGTGTATACGGTAGTTTTTATATACAAAATGGTCTTTCAGCAAATGAATTATGATGTGTCAAAATGACTCATAGGGACTTTGCCACAGAGCAGAGTATTTGAGAAACTTTCTGCTGCAAAGTAAATATTTGTGTTTTGTTGATTAACAGGAACATGGCCAGTCTCTGACATTGCAAATCTAATGGTGATATCAGGGTTAATGAGTGAAAGCAGTCTTACCTTTCTCTCTCCTTTTCTTGCTCTGTCATACATGCACAAAACCACGCTGAGTGTGTACAAAAGACCTCATATGCATAGAGGACTTAAGAAACTCACTCCAGTAGAAGAAGTATAGCATCACCAGGCAGAGTAAAGAGCACCTTGAGAACTGCATCGTCTTATCACAGTCAAAAGTTGTGTACGATAATTAAAAAAATAATAACAATAATAATAATTAAAAAAAAAAAAAAAGTGGAAGAGACATGGGGGCTTCTCAGGCTCTGTAAACCACATATGAGAGCAGAGCAAGGACCTTGGTTTGGAATATGACCTTAGCATCTCTGCTTACAGAAAGATTTTGCTATAAATCTTGCAAGGTCAAGCTTCCATGGGAAGTGCCTGGGTTGTTTTTGTCTCAGCCATGCTGAAAATATAATATACAATGATGTTTGTGCTTGTTCATTTTATTTGCCTTCTCCTGGTGGGTCATGCCATGTATGTATGGCAGAAGGAACGGAAGGATGAAGGAGAAATGGGAGAACCACTCAGGCTTGCCCATCCAGCAGATTCAGTGATCCTGCAAAATGCATCCACAAAGATAGTTGCCAGCCCCCAGAGTGACCAGGCATCCTCAGATATACTTGCAGATATACTCCATGTGGAAACAGCCAGGCCAGACAGGGCTCCTGAAATGGTCCTTTCCCATAATGGCAGCTGTCAGATTTATCACCTTGGGCTGTACTTATTCTGCTGCAAAAGGGACTCAGTCCCATAGAGGATCTTTCCCAGGTCCTTGAACACTTAAGATGCAAACAAGCATTGGAAGCTGAGAATGCCTTTAGTGGCTCCACAGCTTTGGGAGCATTCTGTTTTGCAAGAAATTCCCCAGGGAGGTCATTTCCAGCTCTGATTTCTCTGATCCCTTAATGCTGTCCAAGTTCATTAAAACACCTGAAGAAAACAATGTACTTCCAGAGGCAATATAAAAAGGAGTCTGCCTGCTTGAGCCAGTGAGAAAATAGAGCAGGTGTGTGCTTACAAAAGCAAAAAGAAATCTTACAAAAGACAAAACAAATTACAAATAAATAAATGCTTAGAGAAAAAACAGCACACCTCTCTTCTGAGGCACCAGAATAGAACACAACCCTCACAGCATGATTCAGCCTGGTGGACATTACTCAAGGTGCTTCCAATTCTTGTTTCCTCTCTTTTCCTCCTCCTGCTGCCCCTCCCCACACTTTTCCCTCAGAACTGTTCTTTACTTTAACTCCCAGAAAAAAATAAATAAATGTTTATTTCAGGGCAGGGAAATTTCATTTGCAAACTCAATCAGTTTTATATCCAGGAAAAACAGATAATAATGATTGTACAGCCAACAGACACCATTGACTTACTGCAATTAATCCATTCTAATAATATTGATCTCTTCCCAGATAAAAGCAAAGGTTGGATAATTATACTTTTTTCCACTCATACAATTACATTTTATTTGTAAGTGTATTGAAGTTTAGTTTGCAAAAGCTTTAGAGGCAGACCTCCATGCCTTACTTATCCACTTTCTCAGATGACTTTAGAAAAACTGTCCATGTGATGAGATTAAGTTGCCTTGTATGTAATTTCATGCAGAGAATTCCAAGAATTCTCTGTGTATTTGATATGCCTAAACTCCAAAAACCTCATCTTTGATGGCAGAGCAGACTTCAGGGCTTTCTACATTGGCATGGCACAAACTTGAAGAAGGGTCAAGATGCTCCTGTCACAAGAAAGCTATTTCAAAGGAGCTGAACCAGGATGGAGACCAGAGAGTTGATCTGCTTGGTCCTTTCTGCAGCTGAGATCACAGCAAGGGCAGCTGATGACTCCGTGAGGAGCCAAAACCGGATGCACCCAACTCTTCTTTCCCTGGCAGCAGCAGCAAACCCAACTGAGAACTTGGCTATGAGACAGTTAAAAATAAATTGCTCTCCTGAGTATCAGTGTCATCAGTATTCTTCTCAATCTATAATGTCAGGAAAGCCCGCAGACACAGACCAAATCTGAAGGTCTAAGTTTTGAATTCTGAATGAAATGCTATATGCAAAACCACATATAAAGTAAAATGAAAAAGAAAAAAAAATACTAGTCACACTCTCCTGTAAACAGTGCCTGGAAAACAAAATGTACAGTCTTTATTATGATATACTGATCTCCATTTGTCTGGAGATATCACATTTACTCCTACTCATGATGGTTTACATGCTCTTAGAAACATCTATATTTAGTTTTCTCCTAGAAAAGATATGGCACTTAAAAATAAAGGAAGTGAAAGAGCACAAACAGCCTAACTGGATTACTGGAATGGGATATTATTTTAGTAGGAACACTACCAAGCAAAGGCTTTCATATAAAATATGAACTTAAATCCTCTGAAAGTAGCTTCAAAAACTGGGCTCTGAATTTGTTTCAGTGATTTTGCTTCTGTGTCAGACCCATAAAGATTTTCCAGACTCATTTCAGATGTGAATGAAATCTCCTAGGAACATGGTTAATAAAACCTGATGGTACTTTTATGATTCTCTTAGCTGATGGGAAAAACCTCATTTCTGTTGAATCTTAGCCCTTACTCAACCCTGAACCCAAATTCAAATTCTAAGCAAGTCAAATCCAACACTTTTTGGTGCTTTGATCATTGCTGCACAAAAGAGACAGAAAAGGGAGGATTTCTTTACTGTGAGGGTGGTGAGGCACTGGCACAGGTTGCCCAGAGAAGCTATGGATGCCCCATCCCTGGAGGTGTTCAAGACCAGGCTGGATGGGGCTTTGGGCAACCTGGTCTGGTGGGAGGTGTCCCTGCCTATGGCAGGGGCTTGGAACTAGATAGTCTTTAAAGTATCTTCCAACCCAAATCTATAATTCTGTGAAACTGCCTGGGAAATTCTACTGGTGAACAGAGAGGAAAACTATGCAAAATCATGCAAGCCTCTCAAAGCCCTGTCATTCACAGCTTTAACTGCTGCTGAAGTGTTTCTAAGAGTGTAGGTTTGGTGCTTTTGAGAAGCACTCATATACATCCTCACCACAGCATGGATGATTTTTACAAAGGACTCCTAGCTCTATTAGTAGGAAAAGTCAACATCACCTCCCTTAAACACACACACACACAAAAAGGAGTATAATCCACAGCTTTCTTTCCAAGAACAGAAGACAGCATTCATGCGTGTGCACCAGGAACTGTTTCTAATCACCTAAATAAGGAGCTTCTCTGCCTTTCAAGATACAAGCCTGGAGCTGATGGTGTACAGAGTACTTCAGGATTTTTTTCCTTTTTCCTTCCAGTCCATTCCTCTTTTAAACTTACAAAATAATAATAATAAAAAAATAATAATTATCCCAGGAGAATGTTATGCCTGTGTAATTTTTTCCACTGTATCGATAATGACTGTATTTCACATGCCCCTTCTAATTACATAATGCCTGAGATTAAAATTCAACAGCCTCTCTCAAAGAGAAAGTACTTTAATATCTGGAGTGCTGCTCCTGTAAATTGGCATCTGAAAGACAGGCTAAAAAAGGGGCATAAATACTAACGTTCCCATCCTTCCTAACTGACTGCAATGCCAATGAGCTGCACCGACTCTTTACACAGACCTCCCACATTCTTGATAGGATGTTTTCTAGCAGAGTGATCCACAAATATTATCATTCAATGACAATACAGTTTCATCAAGGTACGTCTCAATCCACAGGATACAAGCCCCACACAACAGACGGAAAATTTGGCGCAGTGATGCGCACACTGCGTGTGTTACTTACTGGTTATTGCAGTGGTCATACCGAGTCCCGTATGGCGTTATATTAACGAATGGCATGCAAGCACCTTCTGTTGAAACATCTGCGACAGGGAAATTTCAGGCATTTTTCCAGACATTTTTTGTGCTCTGGACCAAATTTTCATTAGGGCTATAAAAGCTGGCAGGCAGCATTGTTGTGTATGATTTTTTAATAAACTGGGACATGCCTTTGTTAGAGGAGTGAAGAAAAGGGCTCTTTAGAGACTTCTTCCTATTACAAAAAGTTCAGAAAACATATGACAGCTCACCAAACAGTGTCTCCTAACTTTTTTTTTCCTGTCTCCTCCAAGTGTAAGATTTCCTGCTTCTTTAGATGTATACAGAGATTTACAGGTTTTGAAATGAAACCAAAAATGTATTTTTTTTTTTATCTCTCAGATTAAATGATTCCAACAGTGGCATTACTCGAGAACGTGTTCAAAGAGAGAGCACGCAGCTAACATAGACTTTTAGCATCTTTTTGATGCCTGCTGCCAAGAATCTCACAAAGGATTTTCACTTGCTTAATAGACAAGGACCCCCCCCCCCCCCAAAAAAAAAAAGGGGGGGGGATGGGGAGAAAAGAAAGCAAATGGGCATGATCTTGTATACAATGCAAAGCTCATGCATAGCATTATTCCTTTTTGTTTCAGAAACACCACATCACCAGCTCACTGCTCTTCACTTCCCCACAAAACAACAGTCACCAGACACAAATCGAAGTTCCATTTTGCAATTCTCCCTGCCACACTACGAACACTAATGCAGAACAAACATGCTTGACAGTAAATATGTACATTATCATTATGTAAATAGCTATGTTATCATTATAGCAAAATGATGATGTTCTTTGCTAAGTCTATATTCCCTTTCCAAGAATATTATGCAGTTCGAAGTATAATTTCGATTATGCCACTGGGGCTAGAAAAACACTTCAGTTCAACAATAATTAGTATACTGTATATAACAAAATGTTTACTATGGATAAAGATGATGTGCAATCCTAAATCGTTCTAGACAAACAAATGCATTTTTGCATGGTAGGGTTTAGCCTCAGCAACAGAAGCACTTTCAGATTAATATCCATTCTCACATCCAAGCTGAGCACCATATTATAACATTTTACACCAACAACACCACAAGCTGTAATAATGACATTTTAAATTGTATGAGGTGAAAGATCTACTGTTAGGATGAAGGAGATTTCATTTCTGAACCTTAAATGAACTAGAAATGACTGTATGTCACAGGCTGTTTGGCAATGTTACAGCATTTACACAAAGTCCATTGCTCATGCATAGATAGGTACATCAGCATTGCAAAACAGAATTCCTTAGGTTTTTAGTAACTCAAAAATTTATGGTAGTCAAAGAGCAAGGCAAGGCCAACTCCTGACTTAATAAGCTCTAAGAATACTAAGTGTATGTCTATCTACATCATGCAATTACCTGTGAACTCTAGATATGCATGTCCATAAGACAGAGATAAAAAGTGCTGACTTCTTACAGAAATTAAATAAATAAATTCTGGCATGAGTAAAATTGGATGAAAGTGTTAATTTCTTCACAGCTTCTTTTGAGGTAAGTTAATGTAAATACTTGTCTCTCTTTTCCTCTGTAAAAGTGGATTAATTCTTCAGAAGTTTGTAAATGGGTTCAAAATGTCTTCAGTTTCTTCTTTCATTTTCCTTTGAATGCTGCTTTGAACTGAAAAATTAACTTTCCAAAAAGGCAGATATGCCAATTAGAATGAAAAACAAAACAAAAGGAAACAAAATGAATTTATAAACTATAAAATACAAAATGGCCAGATTCTCACTGTTCTGCTGCTCATTTCTATTACAGGTTCATGTACCACATTTGAAATGTGAAAATCTTGTGTGAAAATATTCATACCAGTCTCAGTTCCCACTGTGCATCAGCTCCCTTTAGATAGTCTTTTCCTGTGGAAGCTCACATTGAAAGAATGAAAATAAAGAAGCTGGACATATCTTTGAGCACTCTCACAGAAATTGTGCATGGCTAGTCCTCTTTTGCCACATCAGTTGTTAGATATTTATTTTACATCTTCACCCAGTCAGGTCCTGCCCATGTAACCAAGCCACTTGGGGGGAAGCAGCAGCAGCAGGGAAAAGCTGCCCATATCCTTTTGATTAATGTTTTCATTTCAAACTGATCAAATCTCAGAAAAATACTAATTTCTTACCAAACCTCTTCCCACTTCTGGCCTCCACAGCATACAGGGTTGTGAAATAGGACCGTGGGTTATACAGAAGAAATATTTCCCTTTCTTTTAAACATGAGGCTCAATAGCACCACCAGATTCCTCTCATTCTTCTCCTGTGAGAATCAGTGAGTAATTATTCCCAATTTACATTCTGTGTAGCATTCATGACTTCATGTACCTCTCTCATAGTTTAGCAAGTTTTCTCTCTTAAACTGAGAACTCTTAGGCTGTTTAGTGTCTTTGAAGCCAGTCCATACCTACGGATGTCTTTGTTACCCTTACCTAGGGTACCTTTCCTAGTTCTACTATACCTTCTGCACACAGTATTCAAGACATAAAGTAACCACCGATAATGTAAACATATGATAATGCAATGATGTTTTCAGTTATTTTCCAGTACCTTGCAGGAGCACTCCAACAGAGAACTTGGATAGTTTCATAGAGCTAGTTACAGATTGAACCACACAAGTAATTGACTGTAAGAGTTGCTTGACAAGTGGAAATACGTGGTAAAAAAAAAAAAAAAAAGAAAAATTTCATTTCAACTGGAAACAAACAAAACAAAAATTGTTAATTTATACAAAGCAAATAAACTAGAAAGAGAAAGAGAAAGAGGAAGAGGAAGAGGAAGAGGAAGAGGAAGAGGAAGAGGAAGAGGAAGAGAAAGAGAAAGAGAAAGAAACAAAAACAAAAACAAAAACAAAAAAAAAAACAAAAAATAAAATTTTGTTATTTCTAGACAAGAGGTGAAATTTTTTATTTTTATTTTATTCTAAGGACTGCAACAATTTTTAAGGAATCTTAGGGAAGGGTTACCCCAAAGATCTCACTTTTTGAAATCTAAGGCAAAATAGGTGGCTGTTGTGAATTGCAAAAAGAAAGAACAATTAAAGCAACTGGATACAAGCAGGAGTCTAGACCAAGGTTTTTCTCTTGAGTTTATGCACCTCTATCTGTATAATTGTTATTCGTATTGCTTTGAGGTAGTTGACTAGAACTTGTAGACCTGGTAGACCTGCACTGACATTAAGCTTTTGCTAGTAAAACCAGTACTGTGCCACTGGCACAATGATGTGCTCTTTGATCTCAGTCCCTTTCCTATACCCTAAACATGTAAAGGTAATACTTGGGCACCAGCAAAAAACATCAAAAACTTTGTCATCCTTTCTTGTTGCCACATCTTTCCAATTCAAAGAATGGACCGTTACCACGGTGGACCCTAAGAAAACTAAACTGGATGCAAGTAAGGGATCAGTTACAGATTGCCACTGTAGGGTGAGCTGTACCTGTCTTAGCTTGCAGTGTCTCATCTCTCTCACATGCAGGGTGCAACTGCCATAACAGCTTACCACTGAAGATTCATATATACACACACATATATGACTCTCTAATGTAACAAAGGCATAATGTAACCCAAGACAAAGCTGAACATGGTACAAGCCAAAAGTTTCTATGGTGAGAATGTCTAATCCTTGAAAAACATGTTCATGGAATAAGAGGGCACTGTAACCATTTCAAGTCTTTAAACATTATGGAGTAGATGCTACTGTTTCTCCAGCTGATAACATTTCCTCAACTGTATGTCTGGCAAAGGCCTCTCTCTCCTCTGTTGAGTTCTCAGGTACTTCCACAAGTCATTTAAGGAAAGATTTTAGGGATTGGGAAGACTTTGCTCGTGAAGAACCAGACACATTCTAGTAGGGAGGAGGAACATGGGGAGGGAGGGCTTTCTTTCTGATCTTAATGGACCTTACATCACCACTGGCTTCCTGCCCTGGATCTAAAAGGAGCTGCAGTAAAACCAACTTTCCAAAAGTTGGTTAGGCATCAAAGAAGAGGTGTGTTGTGGTGGGGCTGTGCTTTGTACAAGGTCAGATGTCTGGGTTGCAATACACTATTAACTATTTGAAAGAATAACACGGAAAACATTGGAGTGTGCGGAATGGGATCTCTTGATATCTGTATTTTGCATGTCACTTTCTGAAAAGAAGAAAATATGCATTCCTCTTCCACTGAAGCATATTGATTGCAGCCCTGCAGATTGATTTTGGTCCATGCCATGAGGTTAATGCTCGGCTTGATCTGCACTGACATGAAAATACCATCTGTGTAACCCCAGCTTGCCTTGCTGGGAGAAGAGAAGATACAGGGCTCAGCAGCTGGTCTCAGCTACTCTGGGAAAAGTGTTTGTCTCCAGACCAAGTCTGGATCCAGCCATATCTGGCAAAAGTATCGTAAGTATATCACATGCATACTCCAGAGAAATCTTAGGAAGCTTAATGGAAGATCAGTTCGTATGTTGAGGCTGTTACATGAAAAGCATCAGGAAAAGCATAAACTGTTCTTATTTTGAAATCGCGCAGGGAAATTAGTATACAGTATAATAATGTCACAGGACTGTCATGAGTTGATCAAATATCTCTAAATGAAGATATATAATTCACATGATCTTTTCTTTCTCTTTGGTCAATATCTAATTAATGCATTTGTCCCTAAAAGAGCTGACTGCCTTTCTGGTTATTAGGACACAATATTGAATCTTCCCATAAGCATGCAAGTAAAATGTTTTGTGTGTTACACCAAGGAAAGACTATACTGAATTCTCTTAACTTCTGACAGCATGAAAATAAGCTGGAAACAGTGCTTGTCCCAACAGAAACAACCTTCCTATATTGGATCCTTTCCTGATATGCCAACATAAACATTTTTTCCTTAAAGATGAGCATATATTCTGGCTGTTTATCTGAAAATTTGAACTCAGTAAATTGATGCAAAGTTTGTAACATAATTAAATGAAAAAAAAAAAAAAGGATTAAAAAAAAAAAAAGGGAATCCGTGTGTTGGATTGCTCTCTCAGATCTGCACTCCTTTACTCCTTGGAGGGGAATAAAGGCAGTTACAAACTCGCTCCCTGCTGAAATCAACATGTGACTTTGCTCTCCTGTGTTCAAGCAAAATCCACACTCCCTAAATCCCTAAATTGCACGGTGACTTTCTTGAAGTTTAAGAGCAAGAGTGGAGCCATGGGAGATCGCTTGCATGAAAGCATCCCTTCAGTTTCTCAGAGCACCCGCTCCACACTGCGTGCCCTGCACTGGCCCCGCAGCACACGTTTCAAAGCGCCGGCTGGCTCTGCCCGCGCTGCCAAAGCACATGTGGCTGCGTGGAGATCCCGAGGTGACACGGTCAGTTTGATGAAGTATACAAAAGCTTTTGGCACTGCATATCTGCAATATCATGGACAGTCAAGGAGGCGCCTGTTATAAAAATACACAGTGAAACACAACTGGAGGACTGCTCTTTCTCAAAGGCTAACGTAATGCATTCCTTCTGTTTAGGCTCATTTTCCAGCCTTTCACATTCTTTGTGAACAAGAGTTATAAAACAAGCCTGATGCAGGCCAATTATTTTTACTTTGAAGGCCATTAATCAAGATTGACTAAGAAAATGAAGACAGCTAAGCAAAATTTCATATGTGACTAGAGTGAGATTAAAATAAAACCAGATGGGGATGGACAGAGACGTTAAGCTGCTTTCTCTCCCCCTTCCCTCCCCTTTTTTTCTTTTTTTGACTCATGTAATAAATGTCTTTTACAAATTACAGCACTCTTATTTTCTTACAGTAAATCAAATTGGGTCATAATGTACAAGTGGTCTCATTGCTGAAATGTCAAAAATAGAACCCGCCTTGTTCTTCCAAAGTAATTCCTCAAATCTAAACCAGCAGTGTGGCCTGACAGTCTATAAACCATCTACCTGGATGCAGATCTCTTTTAAGGTAACTGTCTGTTGCTGATAGATGCATTTTGCAAGCTCCCAGCATGAGCCATACGGTGAGATCTGTAGCATGTAGTCATTTTCAGGAATCTGAATTTGCAGGACTTACGTAAGGGTACTTCTAACAAATTTCAGGGAATTTCTGGAGCCAGAATTTTTTCTAAACATCAAATAACTTTAAGTCAAAGACAAGTAGACCTATAAAACCCTGCAAAAGTTTAAATAATTTTTGCAGACCCCAGTTTTCATTGGTTAAATGAAAAACACCATGAAAACTGTAGAGATTACTTTTGAGTTTTCAGGACACTCCAAGAAAAAGAAGAATCAGAAAGATGGGTAAATACACAGAAGGATATTCCCACATCAGGCAGGTTTTTTGAAAATGTAGCTATTGCAAAATCTTTTACTTAAGATGAAATGGTCATGTATATATTAATATCTTTTTACAAGAAAAAAAAAAAGCCTATTAGGAAAAATGATGAGAAAATGGTCCCAAATATGCTTAGACTAGATAATTCAAAATGACTTTTCTTTTCTAGTCAGATTTTGAAGAAATATATTCTAGTAGTTAACCTCATTCATATCATTTCTGACATTTCTAGAAGCATATTTTATTAAACTCTACTATATCACTACCAAGAAAATAAATAAATAAAAAATAAAAATAAAAAATAAAAATAAATAAAAATAAAAATAAACGAAAATAAAAAGGGATAGACCATCAGAATTTTATTAGAAGCCCTGAGACCTAACTTTGCAAAGAAGTTAGCTGGTACAGTGAAAAACAAGAGCTATTTCCCCAGGTTTCACTGTGTTTGAAATGTTAATTGGGTCTGAGGACTGGCTATATCCCTATGAGAACATTTTATTTTAAGGAAGGGAAGTCCATGAACATATAGACTGGAATTCTGTAAACTCTCTGAATGAATGTTTCAGTTCCCTAGTTTTTTTCTGCATCACCTCCCATTCATTTGAACCCATAGCTTTCTTCCACACGCTCCTTATAATGTTGTAGAAATAGGCCTAGAAGGCATCTTTAGGCCACCCTCTCCACCAAGACAGGATCAGCTGTTCCTCCATTATTCTTGACAGATGTTTGTCCAACTTGTTTATCAAACCTTGTACGGCAGTCTGTATAGATTTCCTAGCCAACCCATTCTGCTTCTAGCACAGAAAACATTTCCTAGTGTGTACCCTTAATCTCTTTTCCTGAAAATTAGGCTCCCTACTTCTTTTGGACATTGGCAACAGTTTATTACTTTCCTTTTCACAGCTACCTTTGAGCACTTATCATACATTTACCCAGTTTGCCTCTATCTAGACTAAACAACCCCACTGCCTTCAGTCTTCCTTTACAGGTCATGTTTTCCAGACCCTCAGTTGCTCTTGCTCCTCTTCTTGGATTCTTTCCAAGTAATTCATATCTTTCTTGAAATGAAGTGCCCCAAACTGGACACAGTGCTTCAGCAGTGCTCTGGTGTGAGACCAGAAGAACTAGTTCATGTTTCTTACATATGCCAGCACTGTTTATACATCCCAGGATGATGTTTGGGTTTTTGGCAACAGCCTGACCTTTCTGATTCATGTTCATTTTGTGTTTGCTTTGGCCCCCAGCTCATTCTCTGAAG